AGTTTCAGGGAAATATATGTGAGGGGAAATTGGGAGCCTTTCCTAGATCTGGCAGAAAAAAATTCTGCAGTTTCATTGTCTTAATGACGATGACATCCTGGCCTCTCCCACCAGGTGTCACTGCGAAGTCACACAAGAGGATCTGTTGGTGATGATGCAAGATGCAGACAAAAATGAAGATTAATAAGGCATAGGAGTCATCTCTGAAAAAGAGTCTTTTTTTTTCCCCCTCCTCCTGGTTCCTAGCCAAAAAAGAAAAACAGCAACACCACTGTGCTTTAAGCTCAACAAAGCAGAGTATCAGTTTTAAAGGATGACTGTGTAAAGCTCTTACTACTCAAGAGATTTAAATGTGTGTGGTGGCAGCTGGGGCTGGGGCTTGGCTGCCAGGCATGGGGCCCTCTTGATGTCTGAGGATGAGGAGATATGTCCCAACCATGGTGTCAAAACAAAGTCTGGAATGGGGATTCTCAATTTGATATGATCTTGAGATTTAGAGACTTCCAAATTTAGAGACTGTCTCTGATCCCCTGATCCTCTGACAGTGGCATGGGACAAGGGAGTAACTCACAAGCAATTCTTATTTCTTAACTCAGTTCTTACTTTTTAACTCACATGCTATTCTTACCAAAGTCCCTAATAACCACAGATACGTCCCACAGAACAAGCTGCAAAATTGTTCCTTCATTTTTCTAGTTTCTACTCTGGTATCTGAGGACACATGCAGCAAACTCCTCATGTCACACTTATGCATGCCATTGGAACATCTGTCGGTGAAAATCCTTCCCTCCCCTGCCAGCAGTGACAGAAGCACACACCACTGTTTCACATCCTTGATTTCCAAGCATGCACCTAGAACACAGCACTAGATGCTATCCAGCTTTACCTGTGAGCACAGACTTGCTCAAAGGAGACCACACCAGGACTTTCTAGAAGTGCAGCCCAGAGGAGGTCCCTAAAAGGACCCTGACTTACCCTGCTGGGCTGCTCCTGGTCTGGCAGCAACATGCCAGTATGGAGCGAAGTCCTCCTGCCCCATTCCCCAGGATTCAGCATCACACGATCTCCAAATCAACAAATTTCTAAACTGCAACACAGGGACACCTCAATCTTCTTTTGTCACTTCACAGAATCATGGAGGTGACCTCCATCAGAGTGTCTTGCTGCCACCCTTCCTCACAACAGCTGAACAGCCTTTCCATGTGCTTGATAGCAAATTAGGACACTTTAATTACACCCTGACAGAATTAACTTCTGTGGAAGAGTGCTCTAAAAAAAGCATATAAATGAAATTAATTTTACTTGCAATTTACTTTTTAAATGCACATTATTTTTAAGATATTACTACTTATATGCAGAACACATAAATACTCTTATCTTATTGCTTTGGAAGTCCCTTTTGCTACACCACCACTTGCTTTAAAATAATCTGCAAGACTTATCGTTGCTAAAACATATTCTCAAACCAACAATGATCATACAGCAAACTGAAATAAAAACCACTCTGCTGCTGCTATGCATTTAAATGTGTAGCTGATTTCAGCAGCAGAACTTTAAACTCTGTTTTATAGGATATCACTCGATTTTAGTACAAGCATCTATCAGGCACAGCTCTGAAAATGTTAAGTCAGACTATGAAAACATTGTCAATGCTTATTTTAGTAATAAACCCCATGCTTAATCTATGCTTTCATGTTATAGTAATCTATGTATCAATCTATAAACTTCCAGCTAAATACACTAAGTAGATTAAGCTCTGATTGATTTGAAATGTTTTTCACTATATTATCAAAAGTCTACAGATCAGCATAAATACCTCGAAGAAATTTTTTCTCCTTTGGCAGATTTACAAAAGCAGAGCTTAACTTGAATTGAAATGAACTTCTGCATTTTTCCAGGGCAAAAAGCCTGTCAAGTTTACTCTAGATCTGCTGTGCTTCTGGACTTAGGAAAAACCTGTGATTAATAGTGCAGCATGTCTGCATTGTGTCGTGACAAGAGCGGTGACATTGTGAAGGGAAGAGTCCCCCCGTGTCTGCCACACATGTGAGGTGTCGGGAGTCACCCCAAAGGGTGGCACTGCTGGGCTGCCATCCGCAGAGCTCACCGAGCAAACAGCAAACAGAAAGGGGAGCGGGGGATTGCTCTTGGTGTGCTCTTGCTACGTAGATAAAAGTTGTTAAAAGTCATCTTCCTCAAATAGAAAACACCGAGTTTTATTTTCTGAGCTGCATTTTGGGGAAGTGAGAAGCAGGTTGTGAGCTGTGACAGTAACCCAGCGGGCGCTGCGAGGAGGCTCTGCTGTCACTGCCAAGGGTCACAGAACTTCAGCAGCAAAAAGAGCATGGGAGGGAAGAGGAGTGTGCTGAACTCTCTGTGATCCCCATTCTCGCAGCTCTTCTTGCAGACTATCTGCCTGGAGCTGGCTGCACAGATGGAGGGAGATTTCTGCATATGCTCAGCACTCATCCTGGTAGAGCGCTGAGACGGCAGCAGTGCAAACAAACACGGGGCTGAGCGACCCACCCAGCTCGGCTGGGGAGGTGGGGAAGGCATGGTACAAACCACAGCAGGAATGGATGAAGAGCAGAAATAGTCTTGAGGTGGTACAGTTCAGTCTTTGCCAAGTTTTCAAGCATTTCCAGTCAGGTAAGTTCTGATTTAAAATGTTGTCCAAGTTTATCCCACGGAAGAGGTGGCATCCAAGAAAAGGAAAGACTTTGGAAAAACAAAGGTGACTGTGTGTTGGCAGAGTATCCCAGGTTAAAGCTCACTGGCAACCGTAGCTGGATTCTCTTGGACCCCACTCGGGAGGTGTCTCTCATTTCTCAATTGTCCTTATCCATTTATCCCTATGGAATATCCAGCTTCCTCTGCATCCTGCTCCATCCATCCATGCATGTAGACAGCTGCTGTCTGAACACTGCAGACCCAACACCATGACCCCACAGCTTGTTCAAGCACCTGGCACAAGTCCTCAGTCCTGACACCAGCCCCAGGTTCACCTCCATGAGGATTGCACAAGTAATGACAAGAGAAGGAGCTCAGCTCACACAGTTCATCTCTGGATTTGATTTTGGATTCCCATTAGTTGGGAACGTTTAAATCAGGTTTTCCTCTGGGACCTTCTCCACCTTGCTTGTGAAAGAAGAGAGTCATTTAGTTCAATATAAACTGTATTAGGACACAAAGTGACATTTCCAAATCCTAATTTCTTTCAAACACACTCCCAGTGAACAGCAGTTTCAGTGGTCCTGATCTGCCTTGTGCCTCACAGGTTACAGAACCTGGCTTGGGATAACCAGACTGGTATCGATCACACATTCATTCCTTACCCTAGCACATTAACATAAAGTTAACAAGCAAATTCATTCCAGAGGGCAAACCTGAAAGTCAATGTCAGCCAAGAAATTGCTTGAGCAATCCTGTAATTGAATAAAAATATGTGTCAGCAAAACAAGTGTCATCCTGGGCTTGCTGGTGCGCTCTGAGTTCACGGGCTTGACAAACTCCTCTCAGCGTGGTGCTGTGTGAGACACTCTGCAAGGAGACCTGATGTACTAAATGTTTATCAGCCAAATTTGGGTACTAGTAGGCACATTTGACCTGCAGAGTCAAAGAGCCTGCCCACAACTTCACCAGCAAATTAACAGATAAAGTGAAAGAAAATTAGCATTTTGTAACTTCTTGGCCACTTCTCTGGTTACAAAGTGCTTTCACAGCACAGGGAGGACATTTACTCACAAATACGCTGTATTACAGTAGAAACATGTCTTTAAATATAAAAAATAATAAACCCCCTAGTATCAGATTTTTCCATGAATGTGTTTGATGAGTTTGTACACTGATTTATGGGATCAGCATCTTTGGGAGGGCCAAACAAACTCATTTATTTTAATTCCTTCATTTCTGAGTCCAAGGGCCCCTGTCTAGCTGTGATACAGACCAATTTAAGAGTAGTGATTCCTGGTTTTACACCAATTAACTGTTAATGGCATTTTGTAATCTATTCTGTTCTATTAAGCCTCAAGAAAACTGGGAGCAGCCAACAGAACACAGTTAATAGATGTATCTGGAAACTTTCTCTCTGTAGAGATAAGAAAACCTTGGGACTATGCTGGGACCTGTAAAAGAAAGTGTGACTTTAGAGGGAAGCTGTGTCACAGGAAAGAGACACTGCCAGGTCCAAAAGCCAGGATCCTTGTGAGAAGGAACTACTGGCAGCAACAGAGAGTGGTATGTATGTTTTAAATAAATAATAAAGAAATAAATATATTTTATTTTACACATTTACATCTACCTGTGTGTGTGTATTAAAATTTTTATTCTTTAAAAGCTTTCAACAACCCACAGAAGAACTGGGGGTGGTGAGGATCCTCTCCTAAGCTAATGAGCAGTTGACATCACTTTTCAAGCAGCTGCTCACAGACACCGAAATGGACATTTGCCAGCTGAAAGGATCAATGAAAAGCAGTGCTCCAGAGATGACCCTCCACCCTGTCAGGCCCATTTTCAAGGGAAAGAAGCCAATTACCGGGGTCTGCTTTGAGAAATTCTTTTAGGTGGCAAGGCCCAGCTTCCAAGGTCCACCTAGTTCTGTAGAAAACAGCTAATCAAGCAGAATTGTTTCCTCGCTTTTTCCTTTAAGATAGAACTCCTTTCCCTCCCCATTTCAGTCCTTTTTTGTCATTTGAAAACTGGCACATCCATGAGTGATTGCAGGTGCCATTAAATAATGAAGCAGTTCTGTTCATTAAAGCCCAGTGATTTATTACCTTTGGACTAAGGGAAAGAAAACAGCCTGAAAACAGAATTCTTACACCATTTCACATTATTTCCAGTCCAGCACATCAGACAACTGTTAGAATAGCAGGTTTTCAGCTCTGTGGTCCACCAGTGCCCAGAAATTCAATCCTGGATGTCTAATTCCAACAAGGTCTGTAATTCTAGACTGTAACTTAAACTCATGACTAACTGCTGGCCTAAATGTTGTGTCCTACCTTCATACAGCCAGTCGCTGAGCCCATTGAAAATAACACCTTCCTTTCCTGTGGAGACCACTCGGATGGCTTGTTTCCCCACATGGGCACAGTAATAGATGTTATTCTCAAAGATAAATATCTGATTTGAAGGAAAAAAAAAGAAAAAAGAAAAAGAGAACAGCATTAAGCAGCGGCTCCAGCATAAAATGTTGCATTTTGCTTTTACAATAATTGGCAGTACAGAATCACATATCACAGTTTTATGGCATCTTTTGTCAAAAAAAAGGATTTCCACAGCTTGCCTCCAATGCTGTCAGCTAATACAAAGATGCTAATTTACAACAAACTGAAGCCTTGGTGCTTTGATATGAGCTTTATTTCTCTCACTTCTGTCTTCATTTCAGAAAATGGACAGTTCAGTTAGAGGGCATGAGATGAAGAATGCCATTGCTCAGATTTTGAGAGTTGTTAAAGCTATTGCTGTGAAATGCTGTGAATCAAACTCTTTATTTATTTATGTTTAAATGCTGATCAGGAAGTAAAGCTTTAGCCAGCCAATAATAAAAGTATTGTTCTATGGCAACAGTCTTTATCACGTGGTTAAATTGTTCTGTGTTCCTCTGTCATATATAGCACAATTCCTGCCCCCTCACCCCAAAGTGAAGCACATCTTGCTCTAAGGAGAGTCATAGAATCACAGAATCACTTGGTTCTAAAACACTCTTAAAGTCTTTAAGGTCCCTTCCAACCCAAACCATTAACCCAGCACTGCCAAGCCCATCCCTAAAGCACATCCCCCAGTGCCACACCTACACATCTTTAAATACCTCCAGAGATGATGATTCCACCACTGCCACAGACAGCCTGTTCCCATGCTTGACAGCCCTTTCTGTGGAGGAATTGCTCTTAGAATCAAACCTAAACCTCACTGGCACAACTTGAGGCCATTTCCTCTTGTTTGCTCCTTGGGAAAAGAGACTGATCCCCCCTTGCTACAGCCTAAGTGTAATTGTGGTAATCAGGTAATTGTGGAGCGATGAGGCTCCCCCTGAGCCTCCTTTTCTCCAGGCTAAACAGTCCTAGCTCCCCCAGCCACTCCTCATAAGATTGGAGCTCCAGACCCTTCCCCAGCTCCACTGCCCTTCTCTGGACATGATCTCAAAGTCTTTCTTGTTGTGAGGGAACTGAACACAGGATTGGAGCTGCAGCCTCACCAGTGCCCAGTACAGGGGGAGAATCACTGCCCTGGTCCTGCTGGCCACACCGTTTCTGACACAGGCCAGGATGCCTTTGGCTTTCTTGGCCACCTGGGCACACCTGGCTCATGTTCAGCTGCTGTTGACCAGCACCCCCAGGTCCCTTCCTGCAGGGCCACTTTCCAGCCACTCTGCCCCAGCCTGCAGCACTCCTTGCAGTTATGACCCAAATGCAGGACCCAGCACTTGGCCCTGTTGAACCTCACACCACTGGCTCCTTTTGTAGACAGGCATCACATTTTCTGACCTCTGGCCAGCTGGACCCTCCCCAGTTAGCCAGAGCTGCTGGTAAATGATGGGAAGTGGCTCAGTGAGCACTTCTGCCAGCTGCCACAGAACCCTTAGATGGATCCTCTGCATCTCGGACACTTGTGTTTGTCTAAGAGGTGTGGCAGGTCACTGACCCTTTCACCTTATGGGAGCTTTATTCTGCTCCCCAGCCCCTTCTTTAATATATTTTTAAACTCTATTCAAACTGAAAAGATGGACTGAATAGGGTATCAGTAAGCTATTTAGACTGAAATGCAAACTGTTAATATAATTTAGTAGACATTTATAGATGGGTTTCTATACACTTGAAGATATTGGAATAAATGTTATGTATCTTTAACACAATACTAGAAAGCAATTTCTCACATTATGAAAAGACAGAATTGGGAAAAATATTTGCTTTCATCTTGTGTTTCACATCCTATTATGGTATATGTTTCACCCAAAGATGAGCTGGAAGGATTCCAAAAGAAAGTATAGATCTTAATTTAATTTTGGCAGGAGTTATAACAGGTTTGCCTAAAGGTAAAAATTATTACTGAAATTGTAGCTTACTCTTCTTCCTTTTAAGCTAGGAAGAGCTGAATTCAGTGAATAGTTTTGGAAAGTAAAAAATACATTGTGGAAGATATTACATTCTCTTTCCTACCTTGAATTTTAGTAAGCAGAGCAGCCAGATAAGGGATTCCAAGTAAAGAATTTTATGTATTAGCTAATCTGCATATGGGGAGGTTGTTGAAGTTTAAATGTGCATAAAAATAGTGAAGACTAAGCTGAATAAGATACTCAGGGCCTAAATAAATCCAATTCTCTGTGTCTGAGTACTAAATGTGCTAAGGGGTGCTTGGGTAAGTGCTCTTCTGTGACAGGCACACAATCAAGTTTATTTATTCAAGTGATGCAACCCTTCCCTTACCCAGATTCTTCCAGCAAAATAAGATTTGCAATATTTTGTACTATATTAATGTTTTATGAGCTTACAGGAAAAATAAAGAAGGTGGATTGACAACCTGTTCCCGCCCTTCCCCTTTTAAAGCATTGCAATATTTCCATCTTCACTGTTTGGCCTTTCAAAGCTTCATTGCACTCATCAGGCTGTGTGAGGTATCTGGGAGCTGCAGTGGAAAAATAACATAGTGCTCTGACTTCAAACTGTATCCCATATAATTCAGAGCAAAACTGCAGCACCTCATGGAGGTTTAAAAATTATCCTCCTAACTACAGTGCCTGGTACCCTAAAAACGTCAACCATAATCAAGATAAAAGATAACTGAAGCAGCACAAGGAAGATTTCTGTGTAATGTATCTTATAAATTAAGAAAAAGCATTTGGACTTCTGTTATTCATCAAGAAAGAAATGTCTTTGGATTACCTCACATCCCATGTTAGAAACATATTTGAAGTTATTGTGAAATATCTCTGTAACCATTTTTACTGTTTTGGTTTCATGGCATTAAAGAAGTGCTTTCTATCAAATGATCAATCCTGTCAGCTAATTAGAGGATAAGAAATTTTGGTAAAGAAAAAATAGTAAAAATATGTACAGACATGACTTTTATATTACATTATGCCAGCTTTGCATAGCACTCCTAGACAAATTTAAAATGATGACAGAAGGGATCAAGCTCAGTTTTATGCCTCTCTGTACAGGAGATAAAGAGCAGAGCCCAAATTTCTGGTGTTTTCTCTTTTGGTGTGCATATTTGAGCAAGACTTCAACCCAGACATTCTTGCAATATATGTTCCTTAAAATTCAACAGTGAACACAACTATTGGCATGGCAAACCAAGCTGTGCTAAGTCAGGAAAATCCCTGTGTTGAACACCATGTCCCTTTTCATCATGACATTCAATGGAGAGGAAAGAGAAGATATTATGGAAGAAGTAAGAAGAATGGAAACATCCCTACATAGATTGAAGAAACAGAAATTGCTAACTCTACAGAAAAAACAAGGAAGACAGAAGTTCTACAAGATAACAGAATAAAAAGAAAAATGTATTTTCACTATTTTATTTCTCAAAAACAACAGGAAAACCAATGAAATATAGAATATTTTTTCTAAGGAAATCAGAATTAACATAAGGAACTTCTTTCCACTGGATCTAGCAGAAGACCTCTCTCTGCTGGATGCTTTAACAGATGCCCAAAAGATTAAACACTTAACAAAAATAACTGGAACATCTGAGGGGATTAAGATAAAGTTCGGGGTTTTTCAAATGCATTCACTTAATCCCAGGATAATAAAAATCAATGGAGATTTTGCTGTTGGCTTTATGTGGCTCAGGATGTAACTTTCAGCTATAACCCCTTCAGTCTCAGGTATCAGCACACCACTAACTCCTGTGGTCTGGGAAGAAATCTCTGCCCGTTTGCAACTGGTGTTAGAACCCATTACCCCAAACCATTTGTCATCCTTGCCTGACACAACTAAAACTGGAGAAAAAAATATGAGGCAGATTGGACCACAAGCCCGAGACAGGAAGAAAAGTCAAAGCTTATGTATCCAGTAAGATAAATTTATACAGCAGGGTAAATATTTGAACTAACAACAAATTAAACTTAATTCACTTCAAACATACAAAAGCCCTAACGACATTGATTGATTCAAGGATTTATTTAAAATGCTTTTGCAACTGCTTAAGGACTTCTAAAATAATACTCTCTACCAAACTGACCCAGAGTGGTAGTCAGCAATTATGCTGCACTAATTAAAATATTGATACTTTTAAATAGATTAATTTGTGGATATTTTCAGGAATATAATGAAAATACTATCCTTAAGACTTAAAATGTCACAGTGACCAACTATTTTGAGTAGGTGGACACTACACACACCTTTATGGTTGGTCAACCCATCTTTCTTCCAGCCAAAGAGGAGTGTGAAATTTCTACTTCTCCATAGATCAAAAGAAAATAAATTCATACACACTAATCTGCATTTTTACTGCTCCTATTTATTTTCCAGCTGTAATGTGGCATTCTAAGTTTATGTTCTCTTTACCCCACAATTTCTAATGTATAACTTGTCAACAGAATGAGCTGCATCACTCAAAATTCTCATAAACTTAATGCCTGGATGCTTATTACTTTAAGTTATTAGCACATGGACAGGTGTAAATGTTTCCCACAGGTTAAAAAGCACCTTTCCACACTTCAAGGCGAGCCCCCAGGATTTATCTGTGAGACAGACAGATACCATGGACAGGTTGGCACCTTGCCATGGAGAGTTTGATCAACAAGAGCTGGCTGGCCTTCAGGTACAGACAGGCACAAAGCCTTTCCTTGACTTTCCTCGTGTGCTGGCTTTGGCTGGGGCAGAGTTAATTTCCTTCCCAGTGGCTGGTACAGGGCTGTGGTTTGGATTTGTGCTGAGCATAGCATTGATAACACAGAGATATTTTTGTCATTGCTGAGCAGGGCTTACTCAGAATTTTCTGCTTTTTGTGCTGCCAAAAAGGAGGCTGGGGGTGCCTGGGAAGATGGGAGGAGGCACAGCCAGGACAGATGACCCAGAGTGACCCAAGGATCATCCCAGACCATATGGCATCATGGTCAGTACATAAAGCGGGGGAAGAAGAGGGACGAGGGGAACTTTTGAAGCAATGGTGTTTGT